TATATCCGACAGTTTTATAGTCTATAAATTATAGTCTATAAATTAAATTGTCTTCAAAAGCAGTAAAAATGTGGTATTCTTTTAGCAGTATTAATGAAGATATTATATCAGAACTTGGTTTTTTTTTATCACTTATCTAATTCTTGCTGTAAACAGCTCTTGTCTTTTTTTTTCGTTTTTCTCTGTTTTTGCATATTGATATTTTACAAAATTATCACAAAAAAGAAGGAGAAGATAGTTCATTTTTCTTTTTGCTTTTTCAATTTTTCCTATATTTTAGCATAAAACCAAAAACATTTAAATATGCTTGTTTAGTAGGCAGCTTTTCGCAAATGTAATAGCTTTGATAATTACAAGACAACCAAAAGATAAGCCATATTAGATCAACACTGGGGTTGCTGTTTAATCTTTCAGCGAAACTGTTGCATCCGCCTTCCCTTCTCCCCTCCCCCCTCCCCCCTCTCAGCAAGAAAAGAAAGGAAGAAGAAGGCAACAACTGCAAACTATGTACAAAGTACTTTTGCTTGATCTCTTCTTTCAGACACTGTCACAGTACACGACATAAACAGCAAAAACAGCAGCAAGAAAAGAGAGAATTAGAAGAGAGGAAGGAAAAATGTACAGTTTAGCTGATCTGTTGCTAAAAATTTATATCAATTAAACACATAAACCAAGTATGATTCATTTACTGTTTTCTGCAAATCGACTGTACAGACAACCTTAGAGTGTAAAAACAAAAAAAGCAAAATAGTTTTCAAAAATGTTTTTTTTTTTGAATGAAACTGTCTCTAAGGGTATTTCATACTGATCTTTACTAATAATTTTTATAATAAATAATTCAATTCTAATTTCTTATTTAAGGCTGTAATATTTTGTACTGCTGTTTTTAGCATTTACCAAATAATTTGTTTGGTACTGTAGAGAACTGTCTCAACAATTGTTTTAAACATCGCGGAGTGTCACTGATTCTGTATTAAACTGATTCAAAATTCTTCAACTACGCCTGTTTACAGTTCCTCTACCAAAAATTTAATAAACAGCCAAAAATTTTTAGTTTATTCTGTCTGAATAAATTATTCAGAGAAACAAATTTAAATTGGTCAAAGTTAAACGTCATTAAACTGGTTATAATTATTGGTAAAAATCTCTCTGTCTTTTATTAATTTACAACTGTTCCAAAAAGATTTTTTTCTTGTCTTTCTTTTGCCTTTCTCGAATGATTTATTCATTTATGATAGCAATGCAAATTCTTATTTTCTTCCTTTTTTTTTTTCCTTTATTTTGTTGCCCAAATTGCAACATTTGTTGATCTGCCACTGAATTATTCACTGACTTAAAATAAGTCAGCTCAAAAATACTGCATTAAAGCAACAACTACAGACAACACCAAACAACAACTATCATTAAAACAATAATATCAACCCTTAATAGCGAATGTCATCATTTAATTGAGCGTTATTTTGTGGTTTTTTAGTTACTGCAAGAATAACATTACCTTTGCTTGTAACTAAAAAAAAAACACCATATCTATGTATACATTTTTTATGTGGATATTTTTGTCAAATAATTTAAAAGACAAACAAAAAAAAAACACCAAATACAACTGTGTTGCAGACACGGCTAACTGTAAACATGCAAATCTGTTCTTCCTACTGTAAACATTTTATAAAATTTTTTAATTACCTAAACTTGAAAGGAATATTAAGCGCAATATAAGCGATAAAAATCAAAAACAAACAAAAACAAAAACAAAAAAAAAA